CCCCCCCCCCCCCAGGGAAACGTAGACTGGCAGAGCTACGGAGCCCCCTCACCAGATCTAGGTGCTCGTCCAGAAGCTGCCACAGCTTTGCCTGGCTGCCCGCATCCCCGCCCCTCGCCCACAGTGGGCGCTTGTTAGACGGCAGGCCTGGGCTCGGGCCACAGGGGAGACTGAACAAGTTCGGCCATGGCCGCTCAACACATAACCCGACCCAGCCCGTCAGCTGAACCAGGAACTAGATAAAAGACATTGACCCTGAAGTGTCTGCAGCAAGCCTCGGCTCATCCTGGTGGCAGGAGACTCAGCTCACGGTGGGACGGAGATTTCGGACGGCCTCAAACGTGAGGACAGCCCTTCTCACCGAAGTCTCTCCCAGTTCTTCTTTTGCTGTCCCCCCGCCGCTTTTCGTAGACACCCAGGCCACCAGGCTCTTGCAGCAGGTGACGTGCCGAAAACCCTGTTTGACAGGCAGGACGATAAAAGCAGCTCAAGATGGTCACTCACCTTGCCCTGCTTAACACAAAGGAGTCTTTGACCATGACCACTGGGCCCAGCTCGGGACATTCAGAGTCGTGGTACTGGCTGCAGTCTTCACACCCTGCAAACAAACATCCCAGCGTCAGGCGGGGGACGGGGGCGGGGGCGCTGAGTGGGGAGGGAGACGCCCACAGAGCATCGCGCGGCCTGGGGGTAAGCGACAGTGCTCCCCACGAATGCAAAAAGAGCGCAACACAGGACGTGCGCCCCCAGGAGGAAACCCTGCTCCACGGCATGCTGCAAAGTAGGCCAAGCCACCTCTATGGGGACGGAGGACAGGGGTGTCCCCAGGGAATGAGCGTAAATGAAAATTCACCAATAAATCTAACATGTTGTGAACCTCCTTCTAAAACCTGGGGTTACTTATCTGAGTCAACTGCCACCCCTGCCGAATGCCCTTTGCCGGGAGTTCTCAGAAAGATGATCCTTTTAAAACTGTACCCGGGAGCACGTTTCTCATGTAATAAATCGTGGTTCTTAAAACAAGTAAGACCACGTCTAAAGGAGAGAGCTCTTCTCTACTGTAAAAACCAAGCGTGGACGTGGCTTTGCCTTCCATGGTGAGGACGGGCCACGGGCCACTTACAGATGAACATGATCTCCTCGTTCCCATCTTCAGCCATCACCACCACCTGTCAGGACAGAGCGCTGAGTTAGTGATCAGCTTTTGGCCAAAGGCATTGTTTAAATTGAAGAATAGCTGATTCACAGTGTTGTGTTAATTTCTGCTGCACAGCCCAGTGACTCAGTTACATTCCTTTTCAGATTCTTTTCCATTGGCGGTTTTAAAGACAGTCCCTGCTAATGGCCCCCTCGAGCCTGTGTAGGGACTGACTTACTTTGTGCTTTTTGAGAAATTTTTAGTTTTATTTTATTGGTCCTGCCACGTGGCTTGCGGGATCTTAGTTCCCCGACCAGAGATCGAACCCGGGCCCCTGGCAGTGGAAGCGTGGAGTCCTAACCACTGGACCGCCAGGGAAGTCCCTGACTTTGCGCTTTAAAGGCAACAGCCAGCAGCAGGGTCCCCTTTATCATGGGCTCGGGTGGGGGCCTTGAAATGTTTTCTAACCTAGAATGATGCTGCTTTTTAATAAGCCATTGATGTGAATGGCTCTGAATTTGGACGTCTTCGTGAACTCAGGCTTTCATCTTTCGTATCAGCCATCCATTTCCAGTTGCAAAATAAATACCCCACTATTTCAAAAAGCCCGTTTTCACACTGCCACTTCTATTTTTTCCTCCCCCACGCGACTATGACTTCCTCCGGGGCAATCACATCACACGCGACCTCCATTTTTTTCCACCTGCTAAGCTGTGCGTGACACCAAATTTCTCTCGGGGGGGACTAAGCACCGCCTGACATCATGGAGAAGAGCCCGCCTGCTCTCCACAAAACCTTTATCACAACTGGTCACTTCTATCTCCTATTCAACCTTGAGGTTCACCTCCACAGCGGGCAGCTGCGCTCAGGCCCCCTGCATATTCGTGGGCGATCTGGACACGTTCAGATGGGGCCTCAGATTCCTGATCTATAAAATGGAAATTAAAATGCCCACCTCATGTAGTTTTGGGGGGAGCATAAAGTGAGATACACCCCGTATGTGCCACTCAATAATCGTTCCTCTTCCCTCCCACCCCTCCATCCCCAATTAAGCTAACTCAACACATCCTTCCTGCATCCCACTCCTGGCCAAGCCCGAGTGTATCACTAGGTACCCTTCTGGGGAAGAACACAGGCCGGCGCTCCATGAATGCCGATTCCACACGCCCTCTGCCCCATTTCCACCCCGGGAGCTTTCGAAGAATGAATGGCAGACAAATGCAAAGTCCAGATGAAGACTGATTTGCTGAGCACATGGTTAGTTGAAAGGTCCACCACAGAAGAGTGAATTAGTTATAAGGAAACAAGGCAGAGAGATGGCGTTTCCAATTTGCCCCTAAAAGGCCAAGGATCAACAACCAGAGCATATTTTTTCCCCAAAGACAGCACAGTTTGTTCTGTTCCTGGGGACACCCCTTTACATTGCAAGATGCCTCATGTGGCCTCAGCACGTTTAACTTGGTGCTTCCTGGTTGACGGGCTCCACAGGTGGGGTCAGGGGCCAGTCTGGAACAGGGGCAACGGCTGGTCACGGAGCAAAAGGAGAACAGGGACAAAGAGGCAGAGGAAACACATGAAAACCCGCCCTCGTGAACTGCTGAGGCTCGTGAGCTGCTGAGGTGCCCCCAGGAGCTTGAGAGCCGTCCGCCCGTCAGCAGGAACCCACTCTACCTACCAACACCAGCTCACGGTCAAGGGAGCTGTGCAAGAACAGTGTGCTCTTAAGGGAGCCCTCAAACTGCCTACAAAGCTGGCAGCGTCGGAGGGTGTGCGGACGAAGGGAACTGTTCTGGCCTTCCTTGTGGCCCAGCGTGGCCGCCTCCCCTGTGCCTGACCCTGGTCTGGCCTCTCAAGGCTTCCGTGTCTTGGCTACTGTAAATAGTGCTGCTGTGGACACTGGGGTGCATGTATCTTTTCAAATTAGAGTTTTCTCCGGATATATGTCCAGGGGTGGGATTGCTGGGTCATATGGTAGCTCTATTTTTAGTTTTTTAAGGACCCCCCATACCGTTCTCCATAGTGGCTGTATCAATTTACATTCCCACCAACAGTGCAGGAGGGTTCCCTTTTCTCCACAGGGCCTCTCACTGCTGTGGCCTCTCCCGTTGCGGAGCACAGGCTCCGGATGCGCAGGCTCAGCGGCCATGGCTCACGGGCCCAGCCGCTCCGCGGCACGTGGGATCTTCCCGGACCGGGGCACGAACCCGCGTCCCCTGCATCGGCAGGCGGACTCCCAACCACTGCGCCACCAGGGAAGCCCTATTTGTAGACTTTTTAATCATGGCCATTCTGACTGGTGTGAGGTGGTACCTCATTGCACTTTTGATGTGTATTTCTCTAATAATTAGCGATGTTGAACATCCTTTCATGTGCCTGTTGGCCATCTGTATGTCTTCTTTGGAGAAATGTCTATTTAAGTCTTCTGCCCATTTTTGGATTGGTTTTTTTTTTTTGTTACTGACTTGTATGAGCTGTTTGTGTATTTTGGAAATCAAGTCGCATTGTTTGCAAATATTTTCTCCCATTTCATAGGTTTGTCTTTTCATTGTGTTTATGGTTTCCTTGGCTGTGCGAAAGCTTACCGAGTTTGATTAGGTCCCATCTGTTTATTTTTGCTTTTATTTCTACTGCCTTGGGAGACTAAGAAAACACTGCTATGGTTTCTGTCAGAGAATGTTTTGCCTATGTTCTCTTCTAGGAGTTTTATGGTGTCATGTCTTATATTTAAGTCTTTAAGCCATTCTGAGTTTATTTTTGTGAATGGTGTGAGGGTGTGTTCTAACTTCACTGATTTACGTGTAGCTGCCCAACTTTCCCAACATCACCGGCTGAAGACACTGTCTTTTCTCCATTGTATATTCTTGCCTCTTTTGTTGAGATTAACTGACTATAGGTGTATGGGTTTATTTCTGGGCTCTCTATTCTGTTCCACTGATCCATATGTCTGTTTCTGTGCCAATACCATGATGTTTTGATTACTGTAGCTTTGTAGTATTATCTGAAGTCTGAGAGTTATGCCTCCAGCTTTGTTCTTTTCCCTCCGGATTGCTTTGGTAATTCTGCATCTCTTATGGTTCCATATAAATTTTAGGATTATTTGTTCTAGTTCTGTGAGAAATGTCACAGATAATTTGATAGGGACAATTAATCTGTAGATTGCTTTGGGTAGTATGGCCATTTTAACAATATTAATTCTTCTAATCCAAGAGCATGGGATAGCTTTCCATTTCTTTAAATAATCTTTAATTTCCTTTATCAATGTGTTATAGTTCTCAGCATATAAGTCTTTCACCTCCCTGATCAGGTTTATTCCTACGTATTTTTTTTTTTGCGGGGGGGAATGCGATTTTAAAAGAGATTGTTCATTTTTTACTTTCCCTTTCTAACATTTCACTGTTAGTGTGAAGAAATGCAACAGATTTCTGTTTGTTAATCTTGTATCCTGCTACTTTGATGAATTCGTTTATCAGTTCTAGTAGTTTTTGTGTGGCACCTTTAGGGTCTTCTATATAGTATCATGTCATTTGCATATAATGACAATTTTACCTCTTCCCTTCCAGTATGGATATCTTTTATTTCTTTTTCTTGTCTGAGTGCTATGGCTAGGACTTCCAATACTATGTTGAACAGAAGTGGTGAGAGTGGGCACCCTTGTCTTCTTCCAGATTTTAGCAGGAAGTCTTTCAGCTTTTCACTGTTGAGTATTCTGTTGGTTGTGGGTTTGTCATAAATAACTTTTATAAAGGAGCCTCTTGAGGTATGTGTTGTGCTGGCAAAATCCCTCTGGTGTGCAGAATGCTCCTTTGCAGAAGGGAAGTCCAGTCTCCGACTTCTCCAAGCATGTAGGAAATCTCAGACCAAGGGATTGTAAATAGTACTGTTGTAGG